TAGTATCTATATATATATATATATATATAGATATATATATATATATAGTACCAAGACAATGTCTTATTTCTTTTATTTTTCCGAACATTCATATTGACAATGGTGTGTTCAACCGATATAATTCGATCGTAGATAAACATATCTATTTCCTCCAGTCCATAAGTTTAGTTCGATCCTTTACTTCACTCAAACAATTGGTTGACCCTATCCACTATCACAGGCGCAAGAAATATCTTTTATTCTTAATGGAATTGATATTCATTGATCAGCTGTGAGATTGCCCTTAACACCTCAATGATCAGCTGTGAGATTGTCATGGTATACTTCCACAAAGATGTTTTTATGTTTTCTTTATTTTTATTTTTTTTTTGAAACTTTTACTTCCACGAAGGTGTCAGTAAAGATGTTTGGAATTTGGTTGTTACATTTGTATTCCATGATGTTTTTTTAGGTGCGGGCACATGTGTACTTGTTTAAAGTGTGCAAATGAGTTGCAATGGAACAGTGGGAGATGTCCAATATGCCGTGCTCCTATTGTGGATGTTGTACGGGTATATACTGACAATTGAACAATGGTTCACAATGGGAGAGTCCACTTTGTTCCTATGGTGGAATTATGAATATGAAACTATGAATTCCATTCAAATTTTGGACAGGCCAGTTTCGAAGCGTGGTTCCGCGCTCATTCTGGTTTTATTGTATATTTTGTTTACGGTTGAAGTGGTATTTATAGCCAAATTTTGAAGAGAACGAATAAACTCAGTGACACTGATTCATTCCTGCAGTGCAACCAATGTATCAAAACTTTACTACTTGTTACTATTTCTTGTTACATTAATGAAATTGTATACTGGACTGCTTTCATGAACCTTTATATTGTTGAATTGTTTGTTCCGATTCCTATGTATACGTTTCAAACTACCCTCAGTTTCTTGAAAACATTCAATTAAAAGGAAAACCTTCGAAATGTTATCAACTTTATTTGATTAAAACGAGGCTTTGAAAAGCAAGAAGTATATGAACTTTCAAATGGAACTTTATCTGCAGCCGATGTAAAAAGGGAGCAATCATCTCATCCAACCTATCAAAAAAGAACATGAGAGACCAGGGAAGGGAACAAAGATGAAACGAAGTGCATATTTCACAGCAATACAAAACAATGAAAATCTCAAAATGAGAGAGAGAGAGAGAGAGAGAGAGAAAAGGGCGTAGCCACTTATATACAAGACCTGAGAGAGTGAAGAAAGGGTTGGGGGCATCTTTGAATGGTGAATCAAGGAGGGAGGGAACTCGTGGGGCCTCCGTCGATGGTGAATCAGGGAGAGAGTTGGGCAGGGTGGGGATGGTGAGGATGGGATAAATGAGAGAGGGGATGGGATAAATGTGTGTGAGAGAGAACAAATGATAAGTTGAGAAAACCCCCTTCTAAACCAAAGCATAAACTCCCAAATTTTGGCCTCTCATTTTCATTTTTGAAAAATGGTTTTATTATTATTTTTTTAATATGATGACCGTAGGAATGGAAACGTAGCACGTTTATGTTAAGGCATCAACCCCTTTAACCATTGGGAATTGGACGGATAGGACGTTATGTTAGAGCATCCACCCCTCTAATCATCTGAGCTTTATCTAAATTATTTAGTGATGACTAATTCATTACAAGATTTAGTTAAGTTATACAATGACTGCCCTACCTATCATAACCCTTTTTCATTCAGACTTGGGAACGGCATGACCAGCAAAGTTTTTCACCGATGGTTCAACCCATTCCCAACAAATCATTTAACAAGAACTGACATGAATATCTTTATTCAAGATATAGACTTAGAGAAATAGAAAAGGGACAATTGAGGTAATTTAATACTTTACGCCCCTTTCTGTAAGATTTTCAAAGGTGCAAACCATACAAAATACGCACATATATACTTTGGGATGGGTCAACAAAGCCATGTTTACTCTGATATCAACAAGTCAACCCTGTGCCCTAGTTGAGCTTCCAAATCGCAGTTAAGCTTTGATTCATGGTTAGGACCACATATTTACATGCGTACGCGAAACTCTACTGCGATCTCAAAAAATCGGTACATAAATAAATAAGATGCCCTCAAACGCAAAGGTGCGAGTCGAAAGTCTACTCGTCCCCGACTTAAAAAACGAAAGCCAAGAGATTTCTTAGTTGAAGTCTATTATCCATTTATTCCCTCGGGCAAGGATATTTTTTTTTATCTCAAATTTGGGGATATAATCTCCATAAGCAAACCAAATTTCCGAAATAAACTCTATATTAGTAAAACACTTATGCCTTACGATAGAATAGAGACCATTTTTTTTTAAAAAAAAAGGCTAAATCTAAGTGTTACAAAACTTAAAATTCAATGTTGTTTTTTTTTTTTAAGAAATAATCATATGGTAATGAAAAAAGTTTATATAGAGCTGAAGCTCTAAACAATCAAATTAGAGCCCACCTCAAAACTTTTTTAAAGAGATTTATCTTGATACCCAAATATCCTCAAATTGACCATCTCGACATGAAGATGCATGGACATGAGAAAAAATAGATTTCTAAGTTTTGGAAATAGTACATCCTGTAATGCATTTTTGGACCATCAATTTTCAAGATTTTCAAGTTCTCATAGATATGTTCGATCTCCACTATTTTTTGAAGCTTTAAATTTTATAAGTAAAAATAAAAATATATTTTAACGCTATCACAAACATTTATAGTATTGAAACCACATTTCTCGATACTATTTGAAGTTGCGCTTTACTTTGATTGTTTAGATCCTCAGCTCTATACAAACCGCACCCTATAGTAATTCACACATGATTTCCAAACTTTTAGATTAATAAAATAGTCTAAAGAAGTGTTTTGAGCAAAGAAGCATAGTATATGCACACTTTGCTCCCGCGGGAGCACAGTATGTGTGCTCGAAAAGGAAAAAACACTTTATGGGTGGTCGGTGGTACAGGACAGGAGCAAATTAAAATAAAACAAAAAGAGCCCGCGTTGCCGACGCACTCCTGACCTTTAACCACCAAGAGAGAGAGAGAGAGAGAGAGAGAGATCCATTGTATCCTATTTGTTGAATTGAAAGCGAAGCAGTAGAGTAGAGAGATAGAGAGAAGAGAGAGATGGGGAAGAAGGCTGTGCTGGTGGGTTGCAATTATCCAGGGACCAAGGCTGAGCTGAAGGGATGCGTAAACGATGTGAGAAGGATGAGGGAATGCCTCATCAACCGCTTTGGTTTCCATGAGGACGACATCACCATACTCATTGACACCGACGACTCCTACGATCAGCCCACAGGTGCCAACATCAGGAGGGCACTGGGCCGTCTGCTGGAGGAGGCTGAGGATGGAGACATCCTCTTCTTCCACTACAGCGGCCATGGCACCCGCCTGCCAGCCGAGACGGGCGACGATGATGACACTGGTTATGATGAGTGCATCGTCCCCTGCGACATGAACCTCATCACAGGTACACCCCTCTCTCTCTCCTGGATGTATCTCATCATCTCTCTCTTCACCTCATTTGGGGCTAGCTTTTTATGTTGGTGGCTGTCATACCCTGATCTAAGAAAATTGACGTATTGGATAACTTGATCTCTGATAGATCAAGATCCACAGTTTCTGCTACCCTTAATCCCTGTCTAGTAATGTTCATCAACCGCCACATCTTTGCAAGGCCCACTCCAACCTTCTATTGCCCTCTTTGCCGGTTGGTACATGATGCCTCTCTCTAAGATCTATCCATACCCTAATGACACTTATTTGTATCTGGTTCCCAGCAACTTGGGGGCACTTCACAACCCCTTGGAAGGGTACTGTAACATCCCCACTTCCCATAATTATCTTTCTCAGAGATGGGGGACCCAGATTACACACTTTCTGGTTTCTGCTTATTCATTGACCGACTATCTTCATGGAACTCTCTAGCTCTCTCTCTCATCTATTTTAATGCGCAGATGATGACTTCCGTGAGTTCGTGGACAAAGTTCCCGAGGGCTGCCAGATAACAATAGTCTCAGACTCCTGCCATAGTGGCGGCCTCATCGACGAGGCGAAGGAACAAATAGGGGAGAGCACCAAAGATGGAGCAGTAGAAGAGGACACCGATCAGAGTGAAAACCGCAGCTTTGGCGGTTTCAAGGATTTCTTGCACCAAACAGTGCACAGCGCCCTTGAGTCCCGAGGCATCCACCTTTCATCTGGCCACCACCACCACAGACCCAATGATGAAGATAACAAAGACAATGAAGAGATGGTCAGTGAAAGTGGTCACAAAATTAGGAATAAATCACTCCCTCTTTCTACCCTCATTGATATCCTCAAAGAAAAGACGGGCAAAGATGACATAGACGTAGGTAAGCTCCGCCCCACGCTCTTTGATTTGTTCGGTGAGGATGCCAGTCCCAAGGTTAAGAAGTTCATGAAGTTCCTCCTCAACAAGCTCCAATCCAACAATAATGGTGAGGAAGGAGGCTTCATGGGAATGGTGGGAAGCTTGGCCCAACAATTTCTCAAGCAAAAGTTAGAAGAGAATGATGGAGATTATGTGAAGCCAGCTTTGGAAGCCAATGTATCAGGCACCCAAAAAGTGTATGCAGGCTCCACAAAGCGGGAGCTTCCTGATATGGGAATTCTGGTAAGTGGTTGCCAAACGCATGAAACATCTGCTGATGCGAGCCTTCCGGGTCGACCTGGTGAGGCTTATGGGGCTCTGAGCAATGCCATTCAGAAAATCTTGGCTGAGAGCAAGGGCCCTGTGACTAACCAGGAGCTTGTGCTCAAGGCTCGGAAGATGCTTGCCAAACAGGGGTTCAAGCAACATCCTGGCCTCTACTGCAGCAATACGAATGCTGATGCCCCATTCATTTGCTATGACTAGCTTTTAGCTTTTTTGGATCTGCTTATATGGTGAGAAAAGTATTGAGTGAATGGCTTTGGTTCATAATCTGGGTGGCACTTCACTAGGTGTGCTATTTTCATGTTGTTTCCTTAAATGCTCTTCTTCATGTGGATGAACTCAAATTCTCTATGAAAACTTGATTTGGGTGAAAATGGATATGCATGTGTGTGAGAAAAAGAAGTGGATCTACTTTTATCATAAGCTATGACTTCTATGGGATCTATTTTCTAATAAAAACAGATTGTGGGACAATGGTGATTCTTTTTGCTTTTCTCTGACAGTAGATGAAATGCAAAAACTTTTAATAGAAATATATATCAACAAAATTACAATTACAGTGCATCAAATTATATATATATATATAATAGAGAGACAGGCTTCTGCTATCAGAAGCTCTGTATTTTCTACTCCCCGTAAACATTGGAGATGCTGTATTCATGGACTGCCAAGCCAAGTGAAACTTCTGCTAAAGCGCTGGTGTTATAGATGTATCAAAAAGCACAGACATGGTGGCGTGCTAAGACATGTCAAAATCAGGAAGGCCTGCCCATGCTTTTCATTTCTTCTTTCACTCAACTGTCTTCGTCTGCATCCCAAGATAGATCTGCAGAATGCATATTTATAACAGAAATCAGCTGGCAATAAAAATAAACAAAAAAACTACCAAGAAGCTTTCATAGCCAAGCTATATCAAGACCATCTTAAGGTCGGAGTATAAACTTTCCACTTTTCCGTGTTGGCACCCAATTTTCTAAAACATGGGCCAAATGTTCAGGCAATTTTTTATACATCATACGCATGCAAGCTCATCCATAAAAATTATCCCGTGCCTAGTTCATGGTCAACCTTCTCAAAGCCTATCAAGTTGATCTGCTCAAGAGGCATGTCAGAGTAAATGATGGGTAGACCCTGTGTGTGTGTGTGTGTGTGTTGAGGCTTATGTATGCTTGGCTCCTCTACATACCTATAGAGATATATAAAAGCCATTGCGAGCTTGCTTGTCAAAGAAGAGGGAAGCTACCTTCAAGTACTGAATGAACTGCTGCATTTGGAATGAGAAGGCCCACAACTCTTCGATTATCCTCAGTAGTCTCTAGACGCACCACACGTAGTCGCGTATGGCTTTGCCGAACCTTTGAACAGAGCAATTTCAGTAAGAGCAAACTTCAAGTTTGTGTCGAAGAAAGGAAAGGCACAACATTTTATTGGCTACTGCACCATAACAAGAGATCACTCATGTTTTGAGGCACTTGGGATTGCGCTACACCAAAATTATATAGGGCACATTTATGAGGTCTGCAGGTTTCATAAATTATAGAATGTAAATAACACCCAGGAAAACCATGTTCTGCTGAAATAAACTCGGACATGTGCAGATGAACCACAGGTACCATAGGAATCAGCATGGATGCATTGGCTTAAAGCTCCGCTATTTTTTTCTATTCTTTTTTATGATGCATGGCATTAAAAGCATTTTCCCCCCTTTTTGAGAATAAAGAAGCCCAGGTTTTTTATATGCTTACAAATGAATGGATACCCAAACATCACAATAAAAAATTAGGCACAGAGTGTCCTTTAAACCTTTGGGCGTTTAATGCTGAATCATCTGATTTATTAACCACCAGCTTCTATTTAATTGTTTTATTCCTATATTTCTATTTTAAAGTTCTGCATACCAAATAGCCATAGTGTGAGTCTCAGTGCAACTGACTGTAAGTTGGAAGTAAAGTACTTTATCCTGAGAATTTAAGGGGATTGGTACACGGAGATGTATGCTACCTCAACTAATGTCAGCAATACGTCCTGTTGAACTTTGCAGTTTATTTTCATTTTGATGAAAAGAAACTGTATCAAATACGAAAACTAAGAAATCTGTTTCATGCGGAACAGAAGTAAGATGCAAACAGACTTGTAAGGGGAAAGTCACCTTGAAACTTCCTGGTAACTATGACCACACTTACTGGTAACTATGATTACAATCACTAAATGAAATGTCAAGGGTGGCAATATGATAAGCTACAAGCCATGGGAGCACACCTACATCTATGAAGAAACCTAAACTTTGATCAAGATTTTACCATACAGTCCATAGCCCCACTTCCCCCACCCCAATCCTCCACCCCCCGCCCCACCCCCGAAACAACCAGACCAAAACAAAAAAAAATAGGGTATGCCTTGATGAGGAATGAGTTCATTTTGATCATCATGGATCAGTGCCCTTCTTATATCTTGAAAAATTGGTGCCGTTGCTAAGAGAGTCATCCCACACTAACATATTGCATCATCAACTTTTCGGAAATGCTCAATCTGATAAAAACTGTTTTGGGCACTGAATATGTCACACTGGGATTGGGATGTGACTTATCGGATAACCCATAAAACTTGTTGGTTTTGTCCATTACATTCCCCTAAATTTTTAACTCACATTAATCTGTTTTAGAAGAAGATTTATATACAGAAATCCAATTTTCATCCGCATGTTTCAGCACAAATCTCTCTGTATGTCACACTTGCAACCCTTCATATAAACATACAAACATGAAGTATGCCACAAACATAAGATGATTTATGGAAAATATGTAAGACTTGAAGATCCATTCTAACAGAAATATCTTATCCATTCTGATCGAGAAATATCTTGTGGGAAAAAATACACCAAAGGCAGATATATCTATACGAAAATGCGGGGGCGTGGTGGGAATCATGCAACAGCCAATGAAACAAAAATTCACATCATTCGAAATTCTGATTTAAATTATATAAGGAGGATATATTTAGCAAGTCTTTCGTAGTACAAACATACAACGATATTCACATGGATAAGGACACCCAAGCATGCACATGCTCGCATGCATACACAGAGAAATGAGCACCACACTTTGGATGAACAAGCATACACGTATGGCCACTCACCTGTTTTGATAGAGCCTCCTCTATTGTGCCCCAAAGAGGTAAAATAAGTCCTCCAAGAATGTTAACTTCCTGTAATCTTTTGCCAACAGAACATAATCTTCCAACTTTACATTTTGGCCCATGCATACACTGTAAAAGCGGTAAAGAACCAAGGGTTATAAGGAGCAACATAATAATGTTGTTAGGATTCAGGAACCACCTTCTACACAGAGAACTTCAATCAGTAAGAAGTATTCCCAGTTTCCTATTTGTAGAAATTTTGGAGATTTTCCTGTTTGTAGAAAACTTGGAGAAACTAGTCCCCCAGTATCACAAGTAATAAAGATTTTCCTGTTTGTAGAAAATTTGGAGAAACTAGTCCCCCAATATCACAAGAAATAAAGATGTAAATTGAACAATGCAATCAAACCAAGTTCAATTGGTAAAGAATAATAAGTAGGGAAAGTTAACAATAGTATGGATTGAAAATGTCTGGATATATTGTCTCCAGATATTACAGAAAGTAGAGAAGCAAATATGAAGAAATGAAATCAAAATTCACATAAAGTAACATACGTGTATAGCATGCTCCTGCGGGAAGATACTGCACATAAGAGCCACATTAATGGTAAGAGATCATAAGGCCAATAAATTAATAGAAATCTTGAAGGATGTTGCAGTTTGTGATTCTAGCAAGGCAGAGGCTAATGCATTGCTAACGGGATTGCGCAGTTGAGATAAAGTTAGTATACAGTGTTGGAAGAAGGGTATTCAGCTTAAGTCACTGAATGAACATTCAAGGTCAGCTAAATGTCCATGGAGATTCCATTAAATAGTTGATCAAATCAGTGAGATGTGCTTGAATATGTTAGCAATGCTAAATCGCACATGGAGGGAATCATATGAAAGAACTGACTATAAAGAAGGTGTAGATACAGAAGAGTTACTGCTAAAACGTTCCATCCAGCGTTAAAAGGGCCAACTTTGAGAAAGATAATATGTAAGAAGCGGTATCTAGTGTTGAGGTGTGTGGCTTTTAAAGGCCTTCAGATGTGTTCCTTGGTATTCAGCACTTGTATATTGGCACGTATATTTGTGCTCATGCTAAAATACTCCCAGTTTAAATGGAAGTGTGGTCCTCATGGATGAAACAGGCCATATGAGTGGATTTTGTGTGAGCAGTTTTGGCATGAGTGTGGTCCTCCATGTTGAAAGAGGCCATGCGAGCCTTAGGCTCTACTTGGATGAAAAAGGCCATTAGAACAAGGCTCTAATTGGATGACTGATGGAGGAAAAATTCTTCCTATTTTTTTTATTTGTATTCCATTTCAATGATGTGTATTGTAGTTTTAGTTTTAGGGTTTATTTCTAGGATTTTTTAGTTTTTTAGGGACTCTAGCGTTTTTATTTTTATTTACTATTCACAAATACTGTCCATGGTACTATTCACAGTTACTGTTCATGAATTACAGTTCATAGTTACTGTTCACATGTTAGTATTCACGTGTTATTGTTCATAGTGGTATTTTTGAAATTATAGTACTGTTTTAGGTGTATTTTAGAGTCTAAAATGTTTACTTGGACCTCAAGTTAAATTAGGGTTTCATAGGCTTATAAAAGGTTGGATGTCATATTTTGGAAAATATGTTATTAGAATAAATTTTATTTTATGAAAGAAGAAAGTTATTCTCTTGGCTTGATTTACAGCCATGTTCTTTCTCTCTTCTTGCTGATCTTACTCATTTAAAGTTTAGGAAAAAGGTCGATTCCAATTCCCACATTTTCTCCCTGCATCAATGACGGAGGCAATTGGAGCATAAGTGCTTACCTTGGCTTGTGGCTTGACCTATTAAGCGGATATCCCACCTTCTAGGGTGTGGGATTTGTGCCCAGATGCATCACAGGTATGAGAGGTGGGTTCCCTGTCAAGATCAGTTGCAGCCCAGTGGTTGTCTTGGCTCCTGTGTGATAAGATGGTGGCCTGTCAGGACAAGGGCCTTCAAGCCTCAAGACATCCGCCCACTTACAGATGCAAAACCTGTGTGGCCTGTGAGGTATGTGTGCTTCAACTTTATCTATTGGTTTTGTGTGATGCATGAGCACTGTTGTGTGTGATCCGTGGAGTGTGGATGTGCTTGAGTCTTGTTTGTGTGACTTGACGAGTCTTTGTGACATATGCAAGAAGATCCCCATGTCTTTGTGATACAATGTCTTGCCTTGTGACTCAAGCCTTTGTGACCAAATTATTCTCAGGAGAGCATCACATGGAACATGCGGCTGCACTATGGTTCCTCCATTCTTTGGCTAGCTTTGATAAGCCAATCATGAGCCGCTTGCATAGAATAGGATTCTCCTAGGGGCAATAGTGATTACCGACCCTCGATCCATGATGGCTAGCCAAGGGTTGGATGGTTGACATTGCCACTCTAACCTCATGAATCTACCATTAGAACTTGGAAGGCAAATTCTCATTATTTCCTCCATACCCTTAGACACCTCTATAAATAGAGTACCCCACACCTATTTGGCATGACAACGCTTTTCTCAAGAGAGATGCAATGGAGGGCTACGTGCTCTGGGTTTCATGGAGAAAAGTAGAGAGAGGTGTGTGATCCCTAGGGTGTCTGGACAAGGGAAACTAGAGATGAAAGGTGAGGTGTGTGTAGGTTGTGTGAACTATGCTTTGTTCTTCACAAAAGCCTTATGTGAGAGATACAAGAAGACAGGAAGGGGCATGCAACCAAGATCACATTTGCTGGAGATTTACGCCCAAAGCAGAGAGACACAAAGAGAAATTGCCTTCTTGAATGTTTGGCATCGATCCGGGGAGATTGCATGGGGTGTACAAAGTCTTAAATGGTGACTCTAGTTAAAATCAGGTAGCTTTTTCTCTCTATTTTCTGTTGATTGATAATGTTTTGAGAATACGGTAGCAAGGTTTACATGGGCCTATCTCTTTGTTTTGGGTGCGGTTTGTATAGAGCCATATTGTCGAGAAATGTGGTTTCAACATTGGAAATCTTTGTGATAGCCTTAAATTATATTTTTCATTTAATTATAAAATCTAAAGCTTCAAAAATAGTGTAGATCGAGCAGATCTATGGAAACTTGAGAATCTTAAAAATTGACGGTCGAAAAATGCGTTACAAGATGCACTATATTCAAAACTTGAAATCCATGTTTTTTCTCATCTCCATGCATCTTGATTTCGAGATGACCAATTTGAGGATATTTGGGCATCAAAACAACCTCTTCTAGTGAAATTTTTGAGGTGCACTCTAATTTGATTGTTTATAGATATAAACTTTTTTCCTTTGTTTTTCTTTCTTCCTTTTCTGTTCAGTTGTGAGAAAACTCAGTGGCAGGCAGCAGAAAGATAGTAGCGTGCACAGAACTTCGATAAATATGTGCTGAAAATTTTTGTAATTCATACCTTGCACAACCCTATTATAGCTACCCACATGTAAATCCTGTGAAACATACTAACATAGATGTATGATTTCACAACTTAATTATGTCAACAATCAAAAGAAATAAAAAAAAAAAAAGAACAAGAAAAACAATCAGTCTGATCTGATGGGAAATATGGAACCTAAAGAGTCCACCCGATGGAGGTCTGGACTGTATAATGATAAGATAGAAGGGGGTCGAAAGTAGATTCTAGTAGCAGGGCAGGCAGCATCGACTAGGAAAGAGGACAGGAGAAAGAAATGATCGAAAAGATTAGACCCAACTGGAAAAGATATGTATGCACATGATAGACCGCATGGTTCAGAGTCAGACAGAACTCCCTTGGGATCACTCAATGAATTTCATACATTTATGAAACAGTGGCATAGATGAACTAAGCTTTACCAGCTGCAAAAGCAGTTTCATTTGGGACGCAGTTGAGGGTCTAGGATGCTGTTAACAAGGAGGACAGATGACACAGTTACTGGCAAAGAGGAATAGACATTTGTTTCTGGAAGAAAAGACTACATCTTGCAATGTTTGGGCTAAAGCGCTGTTGCTCATCATGCAACCTTTACCTTCTAACTCTTTTTTATGAACGACACATGTACA